AATTAGGGAGCCAGATGTACAGTACACGGTTGAGTAGACATTTTTCTTCACAGAAGTTCTGAGAGGAATATTTTCTTACGAAGTTTAATTTGGGGCCACAGGCAATTTCCCTTTTTGCCCACAGATAACGCGCCACTGTTCTCTGCAAACACTTACATAATGAATAAAACCAACTTATAAATGTTTAACATAAATTTATAATTTTTCAGTGGATGTTGTTCTTATTGGTGATGTTACTCTGCATTACTCGATATGTATTCTTCTGCATCATTTTAGAAATTCCAATGATATATTTTTTTGTCGAAAATAATTTTGACTAAAAGTTGCAAGAAAAATGTTTATATAGATACAGTAATGAAAATCAGAGAATGAAAACATAAAAAAAAAAAACATAATTGAATAATTTAGGGTATCAGTAATGTAGAGTTATCAGACGGGTCGTGTCAAACAGTTTTGGAGCGTAACCAATGTATTAAAAAGCATAGAGTTTTCTTTCTGATATCATTTTTAGTAGAGATCTTAGCCTACTTGAATTCATTCTTAATGTTTAATACGACAATAAATAACTAGTTGTTAGTTCTATTTTTAATAATGCACGAATTAAAAAGTTTGGTAATCTCTTTTGGTACCCTCTAAGTCCTTCTGCTTCAGATCATTGACTCATTTAATGATATGTTTCGGAAAATAGAAAATGGAAGACAACGGATAAGTAAGTGAGAAAATGTGGGGCCTCTGCTCTTTTAAAGCTTAACAAATAAGGCAATAAAACCATTTATGCGATAGAAATTCATCATTTTTGAAAATTTATATCACATTTGTGTTATACTTGTTACATAAATCATTTTACTGTTTTCAATAAACACTTTTGTATTCAATAAGTATAGTTAATTTCTACATACAAGACAGATCTGTATGTATTACATTGTGAAATCCGCGATTTTTACGCCGATGTCAGTAAAATCTTTGTAAACAACTCCGAGGAAAAAAACACTCTTGGTGAGAAGTATATCGGAGGTCACCGATTGTTTTCACACTTAGGTGGGAAAGTTGACACTTAACTGATCGGAATGCACCGTAAGTGTCAACTGACGTCGATCACGTGACTCATTTCCAATGAATAACGTATAAATGCTGGAGTCCCCGGAAGCTCCGAGCAATCCCTCGGAAGTTATACTTGGTAGATGTGCAATATTTGTCTCCATACTCCGGACCGAAAGGACATACAACCAACCACAGCCATTTGAACTTCCATCGCCATTAACGAACATATTCAACGAACGCATATTAGACATATCCGAATAGAGGTATTTGTACTTTTTAGAGCTTTGTGAACTCTCTCTCAGACTAGAGGTAAAGCTATTAGAGCGTCCCTTTTGTATAGTGAACTTATTTAATCGCATTTAACCTATGTATCCTAGCTTAGTTATATAAATAAATGCTTATTTAGTTTTTAAACCTATCTCCTGTCTCTGAAGGACACCTGCCGACTTACCGACGCACTCCCCACTCATTTTTTTGCCCTCCTAACCATCCGACAAGCCGAGAACGGGATTTACCAACCTGTTGCAGAGTAAGTGGTAATTTGGGATGAGCCCAGTGGCCCACTGCTAATCTCACATTGGTTTGCAGGAGTGGGATGTATAGGCAAAGTTTGTCCGTGCATAGACAGGTTTGTCCGCGACAGACCTGTTCGGCTCGGACAGGTTGTCACAAATTACAGTAGCTAAGCGATTCTAGGACATAGTAACATAGAAATGGAAGGAGACAACCCTAGAGCAGTCTTCGGGAACATAGGAAGTTTTGTCCCTCTTTTGCCTGCATTTTCTGGAAATACAGCATGACTTAGAATAACTGAGTTTTTTTACTCTCTATCAGATCTGGCAAAATTGTCAGGATGGACATAAGCGCAAATGTTGGCAATAGCAAAGCTGAGACTTACGGGGATAGCCAGAGAATCCGTTCGAAAGGATAAACGAATCAAAGATATTGAGGATTTTGAGGAATTTAAGCGTGTTATGCTAGAGCGTTTTGAAAAAGTCCCTTTCCACCTTCGAGTTCATAAATTTTACGCATGTGTACAAAAGCCGGAGGAAGAGGTACAGACATATGCAGCGCGATTACAAGCCCTTGCTACCGAAATTGAGATAAAGCAAGAGGGAACAGATGCAGCGGAGACCGCAATGATTAAGCGCATACAGGATAAAGAATTAGACGAAAGATTAAAAGCTCAGTTTCTGAATGTCATACATCTTAAAATCAGACAACGCGTCATATCACGTAAACCTGCTACTTTTGACGAAGCTTTAAAAGCCGCTATAAGTGAGGAAAGTATAGAAACTCTGACGGCACAGCCCAGTTTTAAAATCAGACCTATAAGGGAAGTTAAATCCGCTACAGAGAAACCACCGGAAGAGTGGGAATCAGTAAAAGCCACTATCGAGGAACTTAGAAATCGATTGGACGAAATTACGAGCAGGTTGTCCTCTCCGCTATATAGAAAATGCGAGGATCGTCCGACTTCCTATCCTCGACGCAATAGGCTAATCGCACAGAGGAAACCCATAACTACCGACGAATTAGATGCCCCCTCCGAGGAAGAGGAGAAGTGGCAAGGCATCATTAGAACTATAAGGACTCAAACGAAGAAGAAACCCATCATCTTAGGGTATGTGAACAATATTCCAGTCAAATCTACTATAGATCCAGAGTTCAATGACACAGTATTGTCAAACGAGGTTGCCAATAAATTAAAAGGGAAGGGCCCGGTAAAATTTGGACAACGAAGGAAGATGGTAGGTCCGAATGGAGAATCCATTCCAACCATAGGCATGACTGCCTCTATTTTCAAATTTAAAGGATACAAGTTCCCCAAATCGTGCAAAATAGTCCGATCGGAAATCACTGCTCCTAGTGAAGGTCATCGGACGAGATATAATAAAAGAAGAAGGCCTCATTTTCGATGATGCAAACGAGAAAATAATGTTACCGAATGGCAAAATTGTTCATTTTTGCTCAAGCTGTTAACCTCGACGGAAGCCGGAAAGACGAAAACTAGACACTGCGGAAGAAGAAGAGGAGCTTCCAGAAAAAATGGTCATACGACGTATGTATGAAGGCCCATCGCATGTCTCCAGGGTGCGAAATGAAGGCACACAACCTTATAAAAATAGGAAAAGACGAAGACAAAAGCAAAATCGAGGTCAAGGTAACCTACCGAAAGAGTCTACAATTCAAAGTCCTCCTTCCGGTGAGAATAGAATTCAAATCTTCTGAGCCCCAAATCCAACCCCTTCCCACCAAGAAAGAAAAAGAAGAAACTTGGAAAGCAAAGAGGAAATGACGAGGCATCGAAAGGTTAAAAGAAAAAGAGTACACACCTACAGAAACCGGAAATCCATCATCACTCTGACATAGAAACCGTGAGTCCGCCAGACTCTGCCCATCTTCAAAGCGATCTCCTAACTGAAATTATAGAATACATTGACAAGGCTAAGTTTCAATCCAGATTTCATCAGGTTTAGGATTAATGGTAGGACATTTCCTCTAATTAAATTAGAAAATAGAGAGAGAGAGAGAGAGAGAAATTAGTTACGACAATTTTGTAACACATATACCTCTCACTCTATTCAACAGGAATAGAAACAAACTGGTTTTTGTTGCAAACAGTGAAAGTGAACTTTGTGTTTCAGAAAAGACTGATGCCGATTCAACGACCACAACACAGTCTACTAGCATGCGCAACTTACCTACATCGAATGACTGAATTGGTGTAGAATTTCTGAACTATCAACAGACGGGGAATCATCAACACGGAAACTGTGACAGTAGGTCAAGAGCCTCAACAACTCGTCACGATTGTAAATCGCGTCTGTAGTGCAGATTGCACATGTAACGTGTCAACCAATAGTCTTTGTTACATGGAGAAATTTTTATTGTCGGGAAACCCATGTCAAAAAGAGAGAGAGTAATCTAAATTTAAACGTTAAAATTATACTCGAAAGTATAATTTTAAAGAAAGCGGTGAATGGTGTGAAATCCGCGATTTTTACGCCGATGTCGGAAACATTTTTGTAAACAATTCCGAGGAAAAAAACACTCTTGGTGAGAAGTATATCGGAGGTCACCGATTGTTTTCACACTTAGGTGGGAAAGTTGACACTTAACTGATCGGAATGCACCGTAAGTGTCAACTGACGTCGATCACGTGACTCATTTCCAATGAATAACTTATAAATGCTGGAGTCCCCGGAAGCTCCGGGCAATCCCTCGAAAGTTATACTTGGTAGATGTGCCATATTTGTCTCCATACTCCGGACCGAAAGGACATACGACCAACCACTGCCACTTGAACTTCCATCGCCATTAACGAACATGTTAAACGAACGCATATTAGAAATATCCGCATAGAGGTATTTGTACTTTTTAAAGCTTTGTGAACTCCCTCTCAGACTTCACAATCACCAATCACAGGAAGAAAAAACATGAGAAGAGTCTAATATTGTATAGGGGTCTTCTCTGCTTACGGATATGTAAATTGATTAATATGATATACAGGGGCAAGAAATTACTAAGTTGAAGTAGAGAGCATATATTTTAAGTTAAATAAATTAGGATATGATTAAATGTTGCAGCCCGGCATTACGACGATGTTACAATAAATAATTGTTGGTTTGATACTTATAATTATATGAATAATATATTATTTTATGTCAATAAATAAATATATATTGTTAATATAAAATAACCGAATTTAACTCTCACACATGAACGTGAACTATCCTTTTTTGCAACATATTTTCATGCTCAATTTAAATCTTATTTCAAAGTATTACACAGTATATCAATAATAAGATTTACCCAAGTTATTTTTGAACTAATTTAAACTTAAGAGTAAAATTATAAATTAATGAAGTACTTTTAAATATTTAAATGTAAAAATATAAAATGGACTGTTTTGTTATTTTTAAAATTTAAAATGTGTTTTAATTTTCCAGCTTAACAGCTAAATAGATTGAGATTGAAGTTAGAGATAAATAAAAATTATTGTATGAATATGTATTTACTTTTTATTATATTTATCAGCTTAACATTAATTGGCTCTTTTCCGGTTTTCAAGGAAATATTTTTCATCGGTAAAATCAACGAAAGAATAGAAAAAAGTTGCACAGCGAATGGATATTACAATATTTTGTAAAGCATATGTTGAATCGTATACATTATTTCTGAATTGATTCTGCAGTCAAATTCAAGATGAATGGAATAATTCTTGTCTTTGTTTTCGTCGTAGTAATTTCTTTTGCTGATTTCATTACGGCTGAAGATTCCTCCAACTTGAATAAAAGTACAGTTTCTGATAACGTAGAAAAAGCTGCTCGTATTTTAAACGATATTGACAACGGGTTTAAGTATGTTACGAGTAATGTCGCTCGATTGATGCTTCCTCTTATGTTGAAAATTACCCAAGAAGTAAATGTATCTCGCTCGTGCGTAAAAGATGGGATGCATTTTTTGAGAGATTTAAAACAAAATAAAGGCTGGACACTAAAATGTAAGTAAAATAAAATTATTATATTGAAACGAGCGATTATTTATTGCCAAGATACAATATTTAATCATATTTTTAATTTATTTAATTTAAAATAGATACTCTCCACCTCAAATTAGTAGTGTCTTGTCCCTGTACATTATACTTTTCTTTAACCATAGATTCGTGCAGGTAATCTATTAACTTTTGTCAAAAGATTTGAATTGAAATAACGTGACTTTCGGTTTGTATCAGAAATTATACAGATAATAGGGGCCGCCAGCCCCGAAAGGTTTCAAATATTTTCTCCACTTTTATCTATGTAACTCTGTTTTCGAGATTAAGGAGTGACAGCCTGACTGTGAAAATATATAGGTTTACAAATTTTATCAAATTCCATTTGAATAATTATGAAGTAAATATAAGTGAATAGAGAGGTTGTGGAGCAAGTTCAAACGTTACTTGTACATGGCAAGCCAAAATACAAGGTTTACGTTTTAATTGTAACAAGTAAGAAAAAATCGTTGCAGCGCACGTTCACAACATCGCATTGACTCACGCGAAATTTGTTGAAAAAATGGCGGATACATTTAACCTCGAGGGTTAGCAGCGAAGGTAAATAAACAAATTAAACTGTTTTAAAGTATTTATAGTATATTTAATAACACTAAATAATTATTTTTAATTTGCGTGGTGTCTCCTACCGTACGATCGGACGATAGGACTAGGACTACTTCATACTTTTTACTTCATACTGAATTTACATAAGTCACTACTTTCCTCCTTTTGGAGGAAAGTAGTGACTTATGTAAATTTAGAAAATTAATTTTTAGAAAATTTACAAATGTATTACGCTGTTGATAATAGAAGATGCCATGGAAGAACAAACCTACTTTAATTAAGATACATTATGAAGACAAATACGGTATATGTAAATTCTATATCACTTGCTAAAAAATTAAATAATTAAATAATTTCTCGATTAAAATCGTCTGTTTCTTTACAATATCATTCGTAAATGCTTAAATAATCATTATTTTAATAAAATAGGTCATAATTTTAACCCCAAACACACAAAAAAATGAAGAAGTTTAAGCCGATCGTCTACTCGCCATGCTAGACGTAGCGACCTCCTTTATCGACCGTCCAGAATTGCCAGATGACGGCGCTGACGGTCCACCGTTCTCGTTTTGGGCTGAATACGACGGCCACAACCTCTCTATTATCAATAATACAATTAAAATTTTATAGCATATATAAAAACGTTACTTTTGAAATGTTTATAAATACAATTTTATTTAATTATTTGTTTATTTACAAAGATAAACAGAAATTCAGACCTTTTGCTCAATATTAGGTTAAACTACTGAATGAAAAGATACAGTAACAAAAAATATTCAAAATTTTGTAAAATATTTGCACAATTGAGTCTTTTTTGTGTTATGAAAGTAAACTGTCGTTCTATTGTTTGATAAATATTATTCGACAGAAAGCAAATTTAATCTTTTCAGTTGATGGGCATTACAAGACATCATGTTCTCATCTAATTTATACATTGAGGTATATATATGTATACTCTTATTATATTGATGCTTTTTATGATGTTTATAAACATAATAAATTTGTTAGGAATTCCTTTTAATATTAAACATATTAAATGTCGATTAATGCATTAAATAACGTATAAGTTCAATTTAGACATAACAACATGTTAAAATATGTATTAATTAATACGTTTTAATTATTTATTATTTCCTAGTATAAAAAACAAATATTAGTAATTAGAACTTAATTATAGTTAGCTTTTTTATATAAAATGCATTGTTATAAACTTATAAATATAGTAAAAATTAACATTAATATTTATAAAATCATACAGTTCAATTATATTTATATTCATTATTAAATTTTCATTATTTATTTGGAATAATATAATTTTATATATTATATAGCGAAGTTTTCATGTTAAAACATAAAAAAGTAATATTAAAAACACTAATAATATACTTTGTAAAATTAATATTGCATTATTATTTATTAACAATTTTACTTCGTCCATTATCGAATAACGTCAATTTAAAACATAAAATTAGACGAAGTAATTTTTTTCCATTCATTAATATTATAAGATTGTTGATTGTGATAACAGATACGAGCAATTCGCAAAAAATAAAGCCGTTGCCTGCCTTGAAAAACGACATTTATTTATTAGGAAGGTCATGTTAAATTCCAAACATTTTTTATGACTGACTATACGTGTTCCGGTTGCTGATTAAAATACTATATATATTTTTAAATCTTTCGTAGCTTATTACTATATAATTTAATTTTACTAAAGTAAGATTATGTGAAAAATTTTCCAGAAACTTTTTTATGGCATTTAAGTGTTGTTGTATTACATTAATTTTATTTAGTTTAAAGTATAGTGTTAACAATCACTTGATATATGCTATCACTTTATTCAAAAATAAAATTTTAATCATCTTAAATACATATCAAAACTGAAAGTTGATTTTTCTTATATATTGCGTTCGCAAATGCAGAATATGAAAACAGTTTAATGATTATACTTTCTGAATTAACACAAATAAAAAAAAATTATCACCAGAAAGTCGGTTATGTTCGAAGTATGGTGCACTTTGGATATTAAATTACAATAAAAATTAAAAAGCAAATACAAAAATATGACATTCAGTAACCTAAAACTAGTGATGTTTGTTAGCACAGTGAAGTTTCTTCCCCAAACTCGGTCTCGTTGAGTTGGTTTCTGTCACGACCCGATATAGTTTGAATCAGGTTCGTTGAAAGTACACCTCCACGGTGTACTTTCAACGAACCTGATTCAAACTATCCACACTCAAGATAGACAATATTTACAGTTTATTTACAATATATATGTATGGAGTATACAAGTTGGAAAACACAATAAATACAGGATACACAAAGCGTGGTGACTCGCGTACTAGATTAGCTTCCGGGAACTATTAAGCTCTGGAAAGGCTTCAGTCATCCCGTGGAGTGGCTCAACTGCACGATTCTTCCAGTATCAGCAATTTAATACCTGTCCCTGAGATAGTTACCAGAGGAGTTTGCTCTCTCTAAGCTCAGCGGGCTTCCCAAGTGCCTGAGACTACCGTTACCAGTCTCTTGCCCTTCTCTCACCTCTCCCGTTCACTCCGCAATTTAAGGATTTTTTGGACAAAAACTTCGACCAATCAGAAATTCCACTTGCACGAGCAGCTTTCACCCAGATCCGCTTTTCGAATGAAAGTGATGTTTACATTTACGTCCGCTGATATTCCAACCCACTTGTTTACGGCCAGGAGTTCGTCATCGGGCAAGTGGTCTATCACTGGACCATACGTCGATTTAATTAGCGAGGTCAGCGCTTTTTACTTTCCTCTGTTTACAACTTTGTTTACAATGCTTTACAATCACTTCAATATACTTTAAAATAATATTTATGTTTCATTAAAATATTATTGCAAATTAAATCTTATAAATTTTAGTTAAGAGAAAAATCGATTAGAAACATTTTGTTGTTCTAAAATTAACTTTATTAACCTCATTTTGAGATGGTCAATAAACCAATAAACACAAATCGCGGGAGAATTAACAATCATGAATATGTAGCTCAAGAATGCAGAAAATTCGGTGACTTAATTTCAATCAACCCGCTGTGATCTTTATACAAGCCTAAACAATATAAAGATTTATAAACAAAAAAGAGATTAAACAAGCAATCATCCACTAAAATACATTATTGAAAGGCAAAGATGATTTATCAAATTATGCATTTCAGGCTTTCCTCATACATGAAATCACTATAGTGATTAAGATAGGAGAAGAATTACTTGCTTTAAAATGTTTGCATAGAACAATCAATGTTTACTTCATATAGCAAATTTTGAGTTAAAGAGTTTGAATCTAAATATATAAAATTACATATCTTGACTGACTGGGTGACTGATTGATTCATCATCGCCAAGAGCAGGGGTCAACAACCTGCGGCTCTTTGGATGTGAAGCTGCGGCTCTTTAGTTCCATACTCAAATTTTATTTATTTTATAAAAAAAAAACATTTAAAAATTGTTCTGAATCGATTAACGAGGATTAGGCACTGATTCTATCTTTCAGCCACTTGTACTCGCTTTTCACCGCACCCCTCCCCCGTGACACGCGTCGTCACTGTCGTCAGTCCGTCGGAAGCTCTCGAATGACGCCGTCGTCGGATGTTTCTATTATCTAATTTGTTGTGAAAAACACTACTTATATATGAATAAATAGATATTTTTTCTTATGAATAAATAGATTAGTTTTTTTTTTCAAAAAACTTTATTTATGCGAGTACTATTTATTGTTGGCAAGAAAAAATTTTGTGGCTCTTTAAAAACTTTGAAATTTTGTAAATTGTAATTTTGGCTCTTCTGACTCAAAAGGTTGCCGACCCCTGGCCAAGAGCAAACCGCTGAACCTAAAGAGGTGAAATTCGGTACACAGTTACGGTACGACATGAAAATGCACACTAAGAAGGGATTTTTCGAAATTCTCCCGCGGGGAAGAGGGAGAGAATTAAGGCTTATAAAGTCTTAGCTCCGAAAGGCAGTACCAGAAACGTGGTTTACAAAGAGGTACTAGGGTAACTGAAACTCTATTTTTTAGTAAATATTTATACTTTAGGAATTTTCAGATAACGTCATTTATGTTTCGAAAAAAAAATTGAACTCAGATTTATCGTATCTCGGAATCCCATAACGTTTGAAACTTGAATTTAGGTGCATTAGCAGTCCATAATTTGAAACAAACGAAAATCAGTAATTTTACCAAATTAGGAGGGTTATTTCTATCAAATTGCAAAATCGACGCGGGCAAAACCGCGGGTACAGCTAGTCTAATTATATTAGTAAAACCTGAGCGGTAAGCATTCGTGTAATGCACCATTAATGTTTGGCTGTAACAAAGGACAATTAGTATTGACTAAAAAATAATTGAAAAAAACATCAATTGAATACAAATACTTTAATTGTGTGCTACAGTTTTAATCATCAGCAAAATCCGTGTGAAGTTTGCATTGAGTAGCATGGGCGTAGCCAGAGTTTTGTTATAGGGGGGCCTAGTGGAGGCCAACCTGACACAAAATTGAATTATTTCAAATTATTGTTCATTATTGGGCACCGAGCAAGCCGTTCACCTTTTTTTTAGTATTCAAATCTTTTGACGTCACACTATCGGAACCTGTGACCGGTGCTCTATGCGTATACGTTAAATATCGCTTGACTCCTTATTCCACACAGACCCGGAGGTATTGGCCAGCGAGAACGCTAGGTTAGTCCCAGTCTACGAACGCCTATCTGCTGAACTACGGGAACGCTACCGCAGGAAGCTGGATTGGATACTAAGATTTCAGGTACCTAAGGCTAACCAACGCCCCACATTCCCGTTTATCCTTTGGGACGACATCCAACCACCTAACTTCGTTATAGACGTACTTAAATATGGCCCAACCTTCGCACCCCCACCGCCCAAGAATAGAACCAGAGACCTCATTCCGGATATGGAGTACCTTGTAAAAAGCCTCCCAGACACACAGAAGGAATATTACAGATGGTTATCCTCGATAAACATAATTAAAGCTAAGGAACAACAAGAGGTTATAGAGCTCAGAGACAAACTAAGTCGTACTACTAGATGGATGCGAAAGAACGGAATAATTCTTACCAGAGCGGATAAGTCCCGAACACTGGTCCTCATGAAACGCAGTTCGTATCAACACAGCTTAAGAGAGTACATCGGCAATACAATGTGCGAGAAAGAGAAAGATGATATAATCGACAGACTACAAGCTAAGGTTAGACGTCTAGCTGACTCTAAGTTAGCTAAACGCCTGGCACTCCGTGACATAGTAGTCGATTCGCCAGACGTCCCTAGGCTTTTCGCCTATGCTAAGACGCATAAGACAGGCCAACAGTTACGCCCAATTGTGGACAAGGTGAGAGCGCTCACGAGGAAGTTAGAAAAAGCCATACACAACCTTCTGACTCCCCATCTAGAAGACTACCCTTACAACGTGAATAATCCGACCGACCTCATCCGCCTCCTACAGGACCTACCCTCCCCACCAGAGTTCATGACAGTCCTGGGGGTAGTTCAATTGAGGGGTACAAATCCATGTACCCCTCAATAGAACTACCCCCAGCCTTCTGCTCCCTCAGAGATTTTTTGTTTAATACTGTTCAGGACCAGGCACTACACCAACAGGTACTCGAGGTGGCCCATCTGGCATGTTACGACTCCGTGAGTAAATTCGGCGACACTATCTACCGGCAAAAAAAGGGCGTACCGATGGGTAGCCCGCTCTCGGGCGACCTCTGCGAAATGGTCGTCAGGCAGCTGGAGACCAAGGCCCTCTCGCCTTTCCTTCCTAGCATCCTCGTGTATAAACGATATGTTGATGACATCCTCATCTTATGGAAGGAGATACCCGACATAGCATCCTTCGTCAGAACCGTTAACGACAACCCCTTCGGCCTAACAGTCGAGCTGGAACAAGCTAGCACAGAAGAGGTACATTTCCTCGATATCGGAATAAAGATAGTAGGACCCATCATCCAAACAGCCGTATACCACAAGCCCTCATCCACCCCCACGTACATACCAGCTGATTCCTGTGACCCGTTCCCATACAAGGCAGCCGCATTTAGAGCTCTTGTGGAGAGGGCGTTCTCACACTCATCCACCAAGCAAGCCCTGACGAATGAATTAGACCGCATCAAAAAAATAGCAACTGCACACGGCTTCCCGAACATAACGCACCGCTTAATTGAACAGTACCAGCACCGGAAAAGCACCCTAACCGCAGTGACCGCCGCCAACCCGCAACGGGATAACTCGACACGGATCCCCATCACATACAACCCGCACCTCAAGACTATACATAAAAAAATAGCCAAAGAGCACGGGATTCGACTGGCATACAGAAGATGCCCCACGATTTTCCGCATCCTAAGGAACGATAAAGACCCTTCCGATCACACCAGACTCCCCGGTATCTACTCTATCCCGCTCCATGACAATAGACAAAACGCGGAGCTACTGTACATCGGCTCAACCAAACGCTCTTTAAACACCCGCCTACGTGAACACCAAGCAGATATCCGGCACGGGAGACTGACCACAGCCCTGGCCACTTATGCATCTGACCCCGAAATCGAAGTACACTTCGAGAAGGCTACCATTATTGTCAGCACGCCCCACCAGCAGCAACTTAGATGGCTGGAAGCCGCGGCTATCCACAACGCCGACCGGCTAACCACCTGCATTAACCGGAAAGAGGAACTAACATTGTCTCTGGCCTGGCAATCGCTATTGGACGCCAACCCACCGCTTCCTCCCCCCGCCGCACGACCGCACACACCGGAAGAGACCCACCCCCTCGAAACCGACACCCGATGCTAGACAAGAATAATATACACTCCGCCCGGGGAATTCTTTCAGTTGACCTGAAGAAGAGCGATTAGAACGCTCGAAAACGTTTGTCAAGCGATATTTAACGTATACGCATAGAGCACCGGTCACAGTTTCCTATAGTGTGACGTCATTTTCATCCCGGTGCTGTGGATAGAATATTTTCTGCATTCAAATCTTTTATTTTAGCTTTAGGTGTTTACAAATCGACTCAACACTTTTTCGGCTGTGATTTCCTGTGGGGGGAGCACCAGGTTCCCTGGGAGGGGCAGTGCCTACCCAGGCTCCCGTCTCGCTACGCCCATGGTAGCGATTGTTAATGTGAGACACGTTGTAACAAAATCTGTTAATACTATGAAAAGTAAAGGTAGGGTTAACAGACATTTTAAAAAAATTTTTGAAACATATTGAAGAATAATATAATGTCGAGTTGTTTCATGGTGAGCTTTTGTGAAGAGACATACATACTTTTGTGAACTGAGGGAAGAAACAAAAATGCACTAGGAGGTACTGTACCGTATGTACTGTACAGTACATCCTAGTATTTACAAATACTGGAATGTATATATGGTAGTTTGTTTTTAATATTAATATTTTTGTGCTTGGTAGTTACACATGCGTGCCCACCAGTGGCCGAGTGGTCTTCGTACCCTAAACACTGGGAGTTCGGTCGTGGGTTCGCGCCGCGATCGGACAGGCTGGCTGCTTGGAGTTTTCCGGGTTTTCTCCTTGCCAATAACGACTAAATAGGAGGCCAGTTCCCCATAAAAGTCCTCCCGGAAGGCATTAGTTCCCCTCGCGTAACATCGCGCCCCAGAGAAGGCAACGGGAAACCACTCTGGGTAGTAACTTTCCCTAGTATACACCTTGGCGGATTACAAACCTACGCCAGGTGTCGCCGACGTCAGGAATCTGATATGGCACCAAGAAGAGAGAGTTACACATGTACAGAAAATGTGTATGTATATATTACCTTTCTGATCTGCTACAGAGGGAAAGTATGGCCATCGGTCAAATATTGATTCCATTAGAGTTTTTTTTTGTTTTTGGACTCAGGATTATGCATCATCGAGAATTGTGAAAAAATTCAGGGTTTTCTTCTGTATATATGGATGTTGATGTGGCACGAGTTTGTTCTCTTTTTTAGAGCATTAATGACTTTGCTTTTTTCGAAAATTTCTGAAATTTTGCAAGGAGGTTTACGTATTAAGTTGATTGACACTGATAAATTTTGGTGGTGAAAAGTTGAAGGAGTGAGAAGATAAAGGAGAGTTTCATATCTTGAGTAAGATTGGAATTAATGAGATGTTAATTGTCATTAGCATTTCAATTTTTATAAAATGCATTCTTTTCACAAAATTAATCTGTTTTTGGTAATTTTTAATAATTAGGTATGTAAAAGTTTTTATTAATAAAATATCACAAGAGATGGCGCAACATACGTAGTTTTAAAATTTGCCTGGAAAGTTAAGCAACTCTTTGTTGTATTTTTCTATACAGTATTTAAATAAAATAGTTTTTTCTCAATTACTTTAGTTTATTATTAATATACACTTGAATTGCATTTGCTTTTACACAAATATTATTTAGTCTATATCTTTTATGAAAAAAGATTCTGATTTTATTAATTCTTTCGCATAAAATCATTTAGGTTAGGTTTTCATCTTGGAGTATTTTACTGTTATTATTTATTGTAAAATCTCAGTTATTGTTAAGCGATTAAATTTATTAGAATTTTTTAAACTTAAAAAATAATAACCCATGAAAAACATAAAATTTTATTTGCTAAATAATTTATGCTTTTTAACGTTAATATCTTTACAGTATATCAGAGAAAGCATTAGTAAAAGAAAGAAATATTCTCTATTAGTTTCACGTACAATGCATTATAAAAATGTAAAACTTAATGCAACTTTTATACAACATTTCTGTTTTGAAAATTATCTGAACAGTTAAAAATAACAATAAGTTTATAACTGAATAACAAAAATTATAACACGAATTTTTCAGTGATCGATTCATTTGGAAAACCATTGGGATTATTTAGAGGAAAATACTGGTACCACGGAGATTACGATCAATGTTTGAATATCGAAGTTAAAGACGATAAAATAAGCAAAAGAGATAAAAGTATAAACACGATTTATGGGAAATTTTGTTCATTAACTTTTGGAGTTAATTCGTATAATTTTAATGACGTGCCAGAAGATAATAAAACTAGAAAAGTCTTTACATTGTTCAGAGATTTTGTGGTAAGTATTGATATAATAATCCCAAATTATACAGGTCAACTGGTATAAGTTTTATATTTCAGAAACCGTTTCCGGTGAGTATAATGATTAAAATGGCAAAGTATTTGAAAATTGTACGTCGTATGGATATTTGCATACCGAGTAAATGTAGTCGAGAAGATGTACAAAATATTCTTCAATGGGGTAAGTAAATTTAGATATCGTATTTATTCAAATAGAAAGTGCTTTCCAGTAGTAAACGACCGGTAATAAACGGTGCATTGTGAAATGAAAAAAAGTATACCTAGAACATTATTGTATAGAATTAGTTAGCATCCCTTAAAGTTTTAAATAAAATACCAAAATCTACTTTATCGTTTAAATAACCGTGTATATATATATTAGGCTGAAGAAATGTTTTTGAACGAACAGTTTTATGATTTTTTGGCAGATTAAAGCGAATTAGAAATTTTAAAGGGTGAGTTAACAGAAGTGCAATAAGCATTCTGCTTTCGGAACCGATGATCCGTCCTGCAGTTATCAAATTTAACATTAGCGATTAAATTCGAACCATTAAGATTCTGCACACTTTAATATTAAGTTTACTTTATTGTTATCTCTGTACTTTCTGTACAAAGAATGTACAAAGAATACGCAAATTATGAGCTCTGGCAGAAGTAAATTTTCTACGTATTCACTGATGATTTTTTAACTATTGCATCAACATTGACTTGTGACTTCGATATTATATGCCACATATTCTCTTCTTAACCAGAAGTACATGTGTTGTGTTGGATTTTCCGCCTTTACCATAGTATCAAAACTTATGTAATGCAGTTTTGTAGTTGATATTGAAACAGTGAATGTATTTCAAGTAATCCAGACTACAAGTATTTTGATAAACATTAATCAATCAATCAGAATCCTTCACAGTCTTTTTGCAGTTGTTCATAGGTTTTCGTTTGTCACCACGTAGTCATTTTTATACACGAGGTCATTATGTTCCGAAACAAATGAGCGCCCGTTAGACAGGAGAATTCTAAATAAAAAAGGAATGTATACGTATGATAGTATTTAACGTTATATACTATATTGCATAGTTCCTGTAGTTCGTAGGGGAAGTACGGACAAAATGACATACGGTTTTGTTTTAGGTTCATAACTCTTTATTGGTAAATCACAGCACTGCCATATACTACACCAATTATCTTTGGTTCTTTACCTATGAAATATACTAAACATTTACAATATTAAAATAATAGGAAAAAAAATATTGTTAGTTTAATCGAGATAATCCACTATGGACAAAATGACACATTACGTAAGGACAAAATGACATACACGTAAAAACTATAAAATTACTGACAAAGTTTACAAAAGAAACGCTTGGCTCTTTTAGAAACATCAGTGCAAGAAGCATGAGCCCAACGGAAACAATTTAAGCACCGTAACCAGTCTTCTCCAGGCTTAGATCGGGAAAAAAGATCATCGCAATATATGCATGGACAGTCTTCTTCATCATCATGACAGTTATTAGGAAAATTTTCTTTTTCAAATAACTCTTTAGCAATGTTACGTCTCTTTCTCTCTGGCGGAGCTTTGGACTCATTTTTTGATTTAATTGCCTTCATATTAGGAGTAGAAGTTAAAACTAAAGAGATTTGTCGAGTCTTTGGTTTACGTTTTCCTTGACCACTTATAAAACGTCCTTTTGGGACTGGAGAAATCTCCTCAATAGACACAGCAAGAGTAGAGGACGATTGATGTTTTTTAGTAGCAGCAGATGAATGATATTCAATTGAATGAGTTAAAAAAAGTTCTTGCTCAGTGTTTTCTGATGGAACCTGAGATGAATTATCGGCTTGTTGTTCGGTTGGTGCTTTTATTTCAGCTCTATTATTGTCGTTAGGTGTGATGGCACGGGATCTCTGTAGCTGATATTGAGATAGCTGATAGTGTAGTTGCAGCAACATCGTACGATCAGCAGACGTCCGATAGCGCTGCTAAGCGCCAATTGGTGGATTTACATTCGTTTCAATCCTTAAATAAAGGATTGAATTTAGGTAGGAATTTGAGTTCGCCTAAGACATCAAGGAACTCTAAGGAACTCGGGTTGATCAGACGTCATCGAAGTACGTCGGAGTGCATCTTAACTCCATCAATTAAATCAGCGGACCTGCTGAAGAAGTTCCTTCGTCTTGCCAACTTGTTAATAATGTGAAAGATAATAAGTTTGTAAATAATATGTAAGAAAGGAAATAAAGTTTTATACTACAGTAGAGCCTCGATTATCCGACCCAATTGGGGACTGAGGTTGGTCGGATAATTGAAAAGTCGGATAACCGAAAAGTATGAAAAAATCCATTATTAGTGTAGTATATTATTATATCCCATGTAATTATTATATCAGTATATCGCTATTAACCTACTTCGCGTTGAATTTTCATCGATGTTAAGCCTAACGAAAATTTTTTAAAATAATAATCGTCGCTATTGTATCGTTAAAAATTAGAAAATTAAGCGTCGTTTAAATACTGGCTCCCTTTCATGGTCGAATGAGTGTTGCCAGCTAAAACACGTAAAAATAATATTAAAGTAGCCGAGACATAGCCAAATATTGTAGCGCCACATCACTAGCGGACATTTGAAATTTGCCGACTAGGACGGTCGGTTAACCGAGGTGGCGGTTAATCGGGGGTCGGATAATCGAGGCTCTACTGTAAAATTTCTTTTAAACAATAACGAAAGCCTTTTTTCAAAGCCATTTTTTATAATTAATAAAACGTTAAGAGGTTAAGCTAAGTTCCTTGACTAAGCTCTTATGGATTAAATGACAGGTATGTCATTATGTCCGTTGCCTATGTATGTCGTTTTGTCCATATAACGTTATAAAAAAACAAAATTATAAAATAAATACAAAGATGTTATTTTTAATGGAAAAAGTTATTTAAGTGCAACAACAACTCCTTGAGGGTTGAAATAAATGCTACACAAATACATAAATTAGTAAAAAACTTGCCATCTGTACAAAAAAACTTGTTGCGAGGAAAAAAACTCATAACGTATCATTTCTTGTCGTCGGCCATGACACCTGGGCCAATCAGAGGAGTGCGTTCACATTTTGACAGGTTAGTAAAAGCCGCTCGTATAACATGGTGTCATGATCAGTTGTGCGCTTGAGACCGCCAAATTCAAATTATGGTGCCAATGTCATTTTGTATGTATATGTCATTTTGTCCGTATTTCCCCTACTTATTAATATGTATTGGCATCATTTAAACTACATATATATTTAGTTTAGGTGATGCTATTTAGAGTTATAAGAGATGTATCAAACAAACTCTATACGTGGACGTTGTCGTGTATGAAATAATTTTCAAAATTATATCACAGGTAATATTTAAAGCCTGCACAATATTAATCTTATAACAATTATATGCTGTTATTTAATTCCGATAGTTCCGATAATTTATGTGATTAATAATTACAGCTGTGAAAGAGCCTTACAGAGCAGAAGTTAAATTCTGCAAAGTGAAAGACGAGAAGGTTCGCTTTACTACAAGTCAAATAATTTGCATGTAAGTGCTTGTAATGTTTAATTTTTATAAAAACATTTCACAAAATTTTAACATAAGTTTATTGTAAATGAATATTGCAGCATTATTTAGATATGCAATTAATCATAGAAAACTTCATATCAATATGTATATTATTTTAACTTATTTGCCAATAAATTTGCAAAAAGTATAAAACTTATAAATAAAAATTCGAAATTGTTCTACTCAGAAATGTAGAGTAATTATTAGAAAAATATGATTTAAAATACAAGTAGTTTAATAACGCATATTTTTAAATACTTTAGTAAATAAATTAAGATTCATAATTAATTTTTATAAATAGTGTAAGAAGTAGAAATGTTTTGTTTGTTTTTTAACTTGTCAAATAAGCAAAACTACTGAAAACTGTTACCGATTCCACATTTATACATAAATAAGAGGTCAGCGCGTGGAACTTTTCTGGTGTATCTTATGTCCAAAACATCCAAATAGAAATACTCTTCTTGATGAATTTCTCTATCAAAACACGCTAAAAAAACTTGTACTGCGACCATGCTTTACTTCATCAAATATTTAATTATAGATTAATTTCGTTTATTATAGCGTTTATTCGCTTTAAAAAAACCAAATGAAAATTTTATTAATATTCATTCATAAAATTAATTAGTAATATTTAAAAATTAGTTAGTAATATTTATTAGTAATAAAAAACTGACTTCTATTTATAGAATCGGCATCATCATCTTTATCATTTGTGTTTTTACTGGAACAATTCTACACACTCTGTTAACGCTGAATATAATAAATGTTCTCAACTGTAAAGGTATGACCATATGTAATTTCTAATTGTATTTGTAATGAAAAACGCTATCGTAACGGCGAATTTTATGCAATTAATAAAAATTTTAGTGGTAATCGTTTTGTGAATTAAAATTAAGATTATGAAGTATCCGTCAACTATGAAAATAGCAACAATTGAAAAGGAAAGAATTGGGTCCAGACTAAATTGTGATTATCCATACTAACACCTTGCTTTTACACAGTATAAAAATTTGTATGAAACTGTTTAATAATGTAAAATTTTTTCATGATTATTTCATTTTTTACGGTAGAGAACTATGAAATTTTATTCGAACAATATAACCTATAGGGAATGTTACCTGCTTAAAATCAGTGATGCCAGATCCTTCATTAGGCAGAATAACAATTGAAGGAATGATTAGAAAAGTAGTATCAGTAACAAACTAGTTTTCTCTATTAAATATACAAAAAATATTAATTTAGAAATAAAAGAGTAATAAATTTCAGTAAAACAAAGTGAATATACCTGTTTATTTGTTTTTAATGAAACTGTGTTTTTTCTTTGCTACTTTTTCTTACGCACTACAATGTGGTATAATGAGGCAATAGACTATCAATATGATATTTAATAAAATGGATTTATTGATAGCCTAGTGCCTTATTATACCACCTCAGTTTGTGTAAGTGATAGTTATTTAATTTTTTTAAATATTCGTTTTATGCATTGTTAATTTTTTAGTTATATATTCGAGATAAATGATGTGCCCCCCAACCTGCTTTTCTATCGAACACCTCAGTACGTAATGTTAGTAATATTTACATAGAAAAATATTGTGGAATTTAACAATATTGTTAGAACCTATAGCAAAATACCGATATAACAATTCGTCTTCTTGATTGGGTGATTTAAATTTCTTTATTGTAAAATAATGAAACATATTCCTTTCTGCGACCTATTTTCACTCATTTTTCTGATAGTCACTTCGACACAAAATTTCTTTTTTTTTTCTTCACACTTTCTGATTCCTATTTTGCTTATGAAGAGCTTATGGAATATTGGTATACTGCTGGTAAGATCATCTTACTGCAGTACTTCTTTTGTTGGGAGCTTCTACCAGCAGAATGTATTGTCCATTCCACGTTTAAAGTAAAGAAGTTCTATTATATACAGTATAAATATTTATAATTTTGCAGATATTTTTATAAAAATAATATTATATAAATTTCTGGTAAAGTTTTCTGGGTTTGCTTTACGTCGATAACGCCTAAATAAGGGCAATTTCCTTTAAAATATCTCACTTAAGGCACATTCCCCGAATGGTAAATTGCCCTCATGATGCGTTCCAGTATCTAAACCAAAGCAAACTATAAAGAGTTTCAAAATATAATTGTTTAAAGAAATTCATTATGTTTCACATTATTAATTGTATTTTACAGATACATTATACGTATTAAATATTTATGCATTTTTATTTTAATTTGTAATATTACATTATTATTGTACTTATTATTAAGTTCTGAAAATGATTTGTCTTTACTATTTAGGCCACATTCTGCATAATTTTGTTTCACTTTCATTAATTACGTCGACTCGAAAACTCTTCAGTATGGATTTCGATAGAAAGACACGATTCTTATGTGGAATAAAATTCTTACTTGTCTGTTTGGTGGTATTTTGTCATATGATCACTTATACGACATTTACATATACAACGACAGGTAAGTCAAAATAATTTGTAATATTTATAGACAATTTACAATGATTGAGTTTCTAATTCTTGCTGAATTGTCAATTACATTTCATATAGTAGTATTTTGATTAAAATCAGTAAATATTTCTTAAAATAATTATCTCTTATTTTTGGGCTAGAAATGTGTTTAATGTTACTAGTGTTTTAATTATTCGATGGATTTTCGTTTTAAATTAAAACGAAAAAGCGACCGAATAGTTATAGATCGAAAATATAACATTTTAATGTTATATTTTTGATTTATAATTATACAGTACTATTGCTTTGGTAACTTTTTACATGTATTTCATTCCTTGCATACTCATTGATACAATCGTTTTATGTTCTGGAACACTAGTCTCCTTTTTTTCTAATAGAAGAAAATTTCTTTCTACAGTACGTTGATTGTCTATAGCAGGGGGTGTCCAACCTTTTTGTTTCTCTGGGACGCATTAGAAGAAGTCAGGGAGTTTTGGGCCCGAAGTACATATAATATATACTTGTTTCCCAATATAGAAGTATATTTAAGGATTAACGTGTCTAGATTATAATAACTTAATAAGTATTAAATCTTTATCAGGAAAAAGGATATTTTAAAAGATTACTTCTACAGACACTTTCAATTTTTACTTAGAAATAGATAAATTCATTTATTATAAAAGAGACAAACGGAAATTTATTTGAAAAACACAAATATTTGTTATATTTAGGTCTCTAACTAAGAAAAAGCGACGAAACACCATTTTAAAGTGCATTTTCATTCAACTAATACAGTATATTTATAAATAAAATGTAACCCAAGAAGTAGCCAATGCACCAAATGATAATTTCTACCTCAAACAAAAAAAGTAGCTACACTTGGCGCAATGTAGCCAAATCTTGCAACGTTGGAAGAAATACTATTATTAAATAAAGCTGGAGTTGTGACTCATAGGATTATAGACCCAAATGCGGAGAAAGGAGAAAAGATAAAGAAGTGGAAAATTAAGGGTCAATATTTGCATAACAGAACATCTATTTAATTTCTCTCACTACTTTTTATATTTTGTCTTTTCTCACCTTTCTGTCCTTTTCCCAAATTTGGGTCTATAATTCTTTAAGTCACAACTCCAGCTTTATTTAGTAATCCTTCCTCATTCACACAAGTATTTGAAAATATTTTTTTTCCACTCAAAAATAAAATGTGAATAAAGGTTTACGATAGTGATGTAACGAATATTCGGTTACTATTCGATATTCGGCCGAATACCGAATACCTAAAAACAGGAGTAAGAAATAGCAAAAACTCAGTAAATTAATCATTTTGGTATTTACATTTAATGTTATCGGGTTAGTGTTGTTTGTTTATATTTATTTATAACTTATAACATGCACAAAATAAAAAAGAACATAATATTAGTCACACGTATTCACGATTTATAATTACAAAGATCAACACACGTACACACTTATTTGTTCGAGAATCGTCGCACATCTGAGGGTCTGACCCTGCCTATCCTTCTTTTTAAGCGCTCGTCTTTGATCTTCCCTTTCTCTTTCCACTATCGCTCTAATCCACGTATGCTTATGCATACATCATAATACGCGCTCACGATACTTTCGATTCGTCACTTTTCCGTCGTTGTTTTTCCATTTTATAATTGCGTGACTCATAGCCTGGTGATAACGTAGAAAAGAGACAGATAGGATGTCGGTATAAGTCAAAGTTATGACTTCACAGATTCGAGACAGCTTGGTAGCCCGAACGACCCCAGGCTTTCGCCCGTGACTTTCATTACAAGCATTTAGCTTTCCGAAGTCGATGACAACAATTGATTCGCATTGACGGGCGCGAATTTCGTGCCAATAAGCTGCCTCGACTTGTTCGATTATGTTATCAACTAAATTTCATATTTATTTTCACATTTTCACTTCGCGGTTCTTCTCTGTTCTTTTTCCGTTATTTACACGTGTAGGTCATTTCATTGTTATTCACATTTGATATCATCACCTATCACATACTGCCATGACGCTCATGTCTGTCCGCTACAACTGTCAAGAATTAACGCGATTGACGAAGCGTAGTGACAGCGGGCCAATAGAGAGCAGGGTCCTTGCCATAATGCGCTTTGTACGCCAATTTTCGTACGTGCGTTAATCAAGCCGAATAGTTTGGCCGAATATTCGGTATTCGGCCTAAGGCCGAATATACTATTCTTTGCAACACTAGTTTACGACTTTGTGAAACTTCTTTTTTGAGTTTATGCTGTTGAAATAAATGAATAACAAAGTAACTAAAACATTTGTCGGTTTTGTTTACACGTTTATTGGACCGCGGGTTGGACACCTCTGGTCTATAGTATTGTTTAATTTAAATCACAATTTTTTCTATCTTTGTTCATTTAATAAAAGATACCGAAAAACGAAATAGTTTTCATATGTAATACCTGTATTAAACTTTGGAGTGTAAAAACTTCTTAATATAGTATGACGCTGTATATTCAAGTTATATATATATTGTCAATTTAATCCAAAAAGTCTTTTTTGGTTCACGGTCTTACAACACTTCCGGTTAGAAAATTAAGACATTATTCCACAAATAAAAAATATTATGCTCAAACATGCAGTTCGGAAAATTGAACGAAAGATAATATTTTTTGTTATCAGCTTAAATAAAAAATATGGAATTATTTCAAGTACCAAATATTGAGAAAGATATTTACAAAAAGAATTTTCAAATAACACATTGAAATAAAAAAACAACCAAAAGATAATTCAATTAATATTTTAGAGGGCATGACAATCAACTCTCAATGGTAACAGTTAATAGATGGCGCTTCGACACGTAGAATATAAAAATATATCAGTTTAGGATATGTTGCATTGACCCTGAACACTGGGAATTCGGTCGTGGGTTCGCGACGCGCTCGGACAGGCTGGCTGGATAGAATTTTCCGGGATTTCTATACGTCATTTGACGCTTGAATAGGGGCCAGTTTCCCATAAAAGTTCTCCCTGAAGGGGCATTATTTTCCCCGTGCGCGTATGGCCTTTCCATCTATAAGGCCGGCTCATCGAACGCCTAGCGTTCAAGACCGCGTAGTATATAGCGTATATGTTCTGAACACTCTATATCAACGAAGCATCGAAACCTATGTTTCATTGTAAAACTCGAGTTTTGTATGTTGGGAAAAATTATTGTTTAGTGAATATATGCAAACAGAGAATATCAATTGTAAGTAAAATACATGTTTTTACTATTTAATGGTTTTGAAATTGTACTATATTTTAAATAATGTAATATACACTTATACAGTACTTTAACTAGAAGAACTGATGCTCAGTTACTTTTATTGTAAGAAAAGGAAAATAAAATAGAATACATAAATACTGGATAAATTTAAAGTAAAGTAAAATTTAAATTTTAGTGTATCTTTATGTTTTATGTCATTATAATTTATATTTTTTTACGATATCGTGGTCTTTTAATGTATATTTATGGAAAAATAAATGTGAAAATGGAATTATTGTCGTTTTTCTATGAAACATGTAAGTTGTTGTTGTAAAAGTTTTTTTACAATATATGAATAATGTCGGGTTCGTAATTATACTGTTGTTGTTTTTAACAGCAATGAAGAGGGATTGTAGATTAATTAACAATCAATCCGAAATGCATTTGTTAGCCTGTGTTCAATTTGTGCAATATAGTCTTAATTTTCTAACAGCAAGTGCTGTGAGACCGTCAACCAAAAAAGATTTTTTTGGATTAAAGTGACGACTATATATATACATACAGTAATACTTCGACTTCCGCTACCCCCGACTTACGCGAACCCGGAGTTACGCGATTTTCAAATCTTGTTGATTCGTCTTTTGTTTGAGCGCCACGCAACTCTCGATTACTCACTCCTCCACACCATTGCTCAGCTTACATATTCGGACGTGTCGCGCGGAATCGACACACAGCTACAATTTATTTTGTGTTATTTTTTTCTGTGTTTGTTATATCTACAGAGACTTCAGAGACAATATGTGGTGATTTCTTGTAACCGTGAACGAATCAAAAAACGAGATAAGATTAACGAGAACATTTATTAGCTTACATACATCCGATTTGGATTTTACACAAATTGCAAAATTATACCCCGACTTACGCGGTTATCGCTCGGTCCCACCTATCGCGTAAGTTCGGGGTATTACTGTATACAGTAGACCCCCACTACCCTATAACGCTTAGATACGTTCCACGTTATTCGAATATTACGTTGTAGGAATCATTAAATACATGAGCCGATCCCAGCCCGACACGTGTGAAGTTTAGGGACTACGGCTGTTTGAAAGATTTTCTTCCATAAAATTAATCGATTCTAGACTAATTCAACTCAACATTTCCAAAACACGTATAATTTTTTGGGAATAATCCGTATAAACTATGCTATAAACAAAAAATTGTAAGATTACTTACCGAGTGTGCACCGTTCGACTACGCCGTTGCTCAAGCTTGTTTTCGTCGCGGAACTGCGCACGAAACGGCGGCCGCGATTTCTGATAACGAATTTTTCGCAGAAAAATAACTTGACCTTTGGAGACGTCATTAATATAAATAATTTTTATGGCCGTTGAATAAGTAATGTTTCTTTCACAAGAAATGTATAAAATTACAGTGCAGTACTGTATTAGACTTACATACCTAATTTATATACTGTACAGACAATAATAAACTCAACTTACTAGCCTATACTCTCCGTAGCGTGGCACTAGACGGCGGAAATTATATACTATATATTTATAATAAAGTTACAATAAATTAAGTTAATATATAATTATATATACAGTGCCTAATTTATATATACTTAATATATAATTATATGTACAGTACCTGATTTATATATAATTTATTATCGCCTGTACAGCATTATATATAAACTCAATTTAGCCGCCTAAACTCTCTGTAGCGTGGCGCTGGTCGGCGGAAAGTAGTTCTGCTGCTCGTTCACTATTGGTCCAGATTCGACCAATCTTGTCGCGACAGGAGTCGGCGACGACGTTTTACGAGTCACTTTATACGAATACTGCTACAATTTTTTCGCTACCTTATAGGAATTTCTGTTATAGGAAACCACGTTATAGAGGGGTCGACTGTATATGTATGTTAGGACCGAAATCGCTCATTGAGCGAAAGAAAAGGCCACAACGCGTTGTGGTCTTTTCAAAACGGCCACGAAACGAAATTCGCGTCGTGACATTTATGATATTTGTCAACTACGGTGATTAGAGTTGTCTTCACCGAACGCGAGATTTTTGAATTTGACATCATCATTGACAATAGAGGCATACAACTTAGGGGCTGTACTGTACATAAGGCAGAAAATCCAGTTACACAACAAACGAAAAATTATAAACTTAAAATATTATACTTTTCCTTTAGACGGTAAACAAAAAATAGAATATTGCACATAAGCTGGCCTTGAAACATTGAGAAATGCAAAATAGCGAGGATTTTTTCTGATGTATGAATGTTAGTGTTTGTGTGAAGATACGATTTCGTTCACCTTTTTGAAGTTTAGCTTCTGTGCTTTTTGTTGAAAATTTCTGAAAATTTTCAGAGATTTCTGTATTAGGGAATCAATACTGTTAAATTTTGCTGGTTAACGATTAATGGGGTGGGGACATAAACAGGATCGTGTGTGATATCTCGAGTAGAGTCGCACTTAATAACGATTTTACTGGTTTTTAGAAATTACAATTTACTTTTGAAAAAAACACATCCCTACTCTCAAAATTAAGGATTTTGCCATTTTATGATAAACAAAAATATAAGAAAATTTTTTAGTAAACTATCATAACAGTTAATGCACCAATATTTTAAATGATTTTGGGAAAGTTAAGCAACTCGTTGATAGATATTTTAAAATATGTTTTATACGCTAAAAATTAAAGAAATATGGGTTTTATTTATTCTAGTAACTATTTCTGTTGACACATCGTAGCGTTGTACAGTTTAAATAATAATCCATTTAAATTTTTACTAATTAAAAATAGCGTAAAAAAGAAACTTTTTCAAACAAATTCATTTAAATTAGATTAAGTTTCATATCTTATTTATCTGTAAAAATTAACTTAATTTATATTACAGAAATACATTTTTCGTAAAATATTCTAACTGGTTCGTGTGGTTCTATATTTTCTGTGTTAAATAACTTCTTATATTGACGTAAACAAAATCGACTTAATTTACTATTTTAAGTGGAAAACATTTGTTATATCCATAAAATATTAGAATATTTGAACTGATCAATTATTCTTTGTATATATTTTAGAACAATTGTACGACTTTTCAATTCTGTCGACTAATGCTTCTCTAGAGATTATGTCTCAAGGATTATCTATGATTGAAATATACTTTTTTCTGAGGTGAGTGCATGATTTTACTTTCATATGTTAAGTTATATAAAATAAATATTCTGTGATAATTAATTAATTTCTTATTACTATAAAGTTGATATCTTTGAAACTTGGGGATTTGCAAAGACAAGGGGGAGTTATTTGCGTACGTCATAGCTCCTGCATGTAAAATATGCAAGATTTTTACACATTGTACTATATTTGAAAAAATAATCGTGATTGTTCTATTAGTTCAATAAGTTATAAGTTACAAATACGTTAGCCGTTCACAGCCCGGCACACGTATTTGTAAAATCTAAATGACTCGTACAACATGGAATTCATATAAAACGGAATAATCAACAGTGTTATAGGGGAGGGTCGAGTGTATAAATATACTATTTAGTTTAGAGTGTAAAGCCTTGTACTGTACACGAGGGATTTTTTTACGTATTATTCCTCTGCATTTGAGAATAATTAAAAACTGAAGTAAAATTGAAATTAAGTGCATGCCGCTTTTAGATTGTACAATACCTGCGTACTAAATTGTCAGATTACTATACTGTGCTAGTATTTACACTTACCTGTTTTACATGTTTTAAATGAATTATATGAAAGTAAAAGTTCAATTTAAAAATTTGTGATTCCTTTTCAATTTGTTTTCAAAAAATAACACTTTGTTTAAAGTATTTTTATTAAAATTCTAAAAGTAGATTATATTAAGTGTGTATTAATAAAATTGTATGTAGTGGTTTTCTAACATTCTATCTGCAACGAATGGATGAAAAAAGACCTGCATTATACTACTTAATGTTTCTAATCAAGCAATACATCAGGTTAATGGTTATTTTATCTCTTTGTTTTAATAACTTTTTATGTATTATTGAAATGTTATTCATTTTATATTAAAGAATGACTTTTCCTTCGCTTTGCTTATTGGCTTTTTTCATACTTCTGCCTCTTTGTGGCGAAGGACCACACTGGGATCTCGTATATAAAGAAGCGGAAAACGTTGAGAAATACTGGTGGAGATATATCCTTCAAATTCAGAATTTCTACTACAATAGCATATCTGTAAACTGCTGAGTACTTTTGTTTTTAAAATGAAATTTTATTAAATTATACTAAAAAAGTAATTTGCTTCTTGCAGTATTCTCTACACACATGGTTCCTGAATGTGTTGATGCAATTAACTGTAATTTTAGTTCCTTTGTTATACATTAAAGATAGGTAAGGAGAAATGTAACTTATTTTATTTTCTAATATTTTATGCTTATTTCCTTAATTAATAGTTTTTTTTTTATCTGTGTAACTACTATAAAATAAAGTTTATATTCTTATAGCATATGCTAAATTTCATGGCATGCATATAAATATGTATTATTATTCAAATTTTAACAGAACTTACTTCAGTATTATTAATTTTATAAATATTTTTCAAGAACAGAATGGTGATCATAAAATGTAACTTATTTTATTTTCTAATATTTTATGCTTATTTCCTTAATTAATAGTTTTTTTTTTATCTGTGTAACTACTATAAAATAAAGTTTATATTCCTATAGCATATGCTAAATTTCATGGCATGCATATAAATATGTATTATTATTCAAATTTTAACAGAACTTACTTCAGTATTATTAATTTTATAAATATTTTTCAAGAACAGAATGGTGATCATAAATTGTATTTTTCAATTTATCATTGTTAACGTTATTGAAAAGCAGAATATAATATTTAAATTTTTATACTTAAAAATAATTGTAACTGTTTACAAAAAATTAAAAAGTTTTTTTAAAGTTTCTGTTTTATCTATTTAAATAATTGATAGACAAATCAATTTTTATTTAATACTGGTGTTTAAAGATTGCCGTGTCAATCTTTAAACACCAGTATTAAGTCCTATTAATAAGTAATGTCCAAGTAGACAATTAACAATAACATTAGAATTTAAAAGGACAGTAAGGCTTTTACAATCAATTTTTATTTACTTTCTCAACTCTTACAGTTGATTGTAATCATATTATTGCACATATTATTTTATTCTATGCTCTGTTCGCTATCTATCCAATTACTCTTTTAATTATTTTAAGTGCACCTACTTAAAAATAGTGAGATCCTCTTTAGATTTGTTTTCGAATGCCTTTTTTTAATTTACTGTTTCATAACAAACAAAAATATATATTTATATAAAGTTCATTATATAGTTAATATAATATATTTCAATATATTCTACCCTATATTAGTTGTGACATCGTCACAATGCCTGGTTGAAATTTTTAATCACATTTTTAAAATTTATTTAATTCAAAATAGCTCACCAACTCAAATTAGTAGTGACTTGCCCCAGTACAAAATATTTTTTATTTAAGAACACAGTCGTGCCGGTTATCTATCTAACACTTTTCAGGGGAAAATAATTGTCTAGTATATATATATATCAATAATGTACACATAAAGGTATTTTTCACGATATTTATATATAAATTATCTATAATTTCGCATTAACTGTAAATCTGTATTGTAACACATATTATATTATAACATATATTACTATCACGATGAAAAAATGATATACTTCAACATTTAATTTTGAAATATATATTTTGTTCGATTATAATTGTTTTGACTATTCACTTATAGAATTTAGATAAAAAATTAAGAATATATTTTGGTTGTTTAAACTTACTAACATGAGTTGTAAATGAGAAAATTTACAACTTATATTTGAATTTTTAAATATGATATTTTAATACATTTAAACTGAAATTGTTTTTATTGCAGATGGCCAAGAATTGGAACTCTATTATTGTACATATTGACAATAGCAGGAATCGTATCATACGTTTCTGAATCATTAATTAAGAAATGTTTCGTGATCATTGGTGTATCATTAAATTTAGAGTATGTTTCACGTGTTAAATATTTTTATTAAATACTAGCAAATAATGTCCTAGAACTCATAGACAGTTTTGTCATTGTTAAAAATTAGGCTCTGCCACCCCGTTTTCGGCAAAAGGCAAAGAAAAACTATAAAAGATTTGGCGCAAATCAATCAAAGATTTAGATAATTTGTAAGAAATAAAATCAGCGGGAAGGAATGAAAGGTTCTTGACACGGATGTATTTCGTAACAATTTTGACGTTTTTAGGTATTTTTTCATTGATACGGCTCACTATACACGAATATACTCAAAAAGTAATTCAAAGAACTTAACTTACGTATGTGGATATCTCATAAGAGAACACTAATTGTGATTTTTAAGTAATTGTACAGAGATGACTAACGTTGAACACACAAATACTACAGGCCTACGTACACTAGTTTAGTTTCATGTAAGGAAAGTAAATTCGCTTCTTATAGATATATCTGATACCACAAGAGTATTATTATAAGAAACAAACTACCAGGACAAAATAAGTAAAGCATATACAGAATTAACTGAAGTGAACGTGTCGAAATAGAATGGGTAAAGTAATAAGTTTAAAAAAGCTCAGAAGGTGGTGAAAAGTATTGACAGTGAAGGGAAAAAAACCACGAAAAAATATCTCTTGTGCATTTTCCTTTTCTAATGTGAAAATACTGTATTCCCTATGTTCGTTTGGAAGAAAGAAGTTACCCAATACTGAAAGAATTTAAAAACTCAGTTCAGTAAGTTCTGAGATTATCTGTAGCAAACAGACAAACATTCACGCTGTGTATATTAATATACACAGGGTATATTCTACATATGTATATAATATAAAAATAATAATAAATAAAATTTCTACACTTAACGAAATTTAGGAAAGACAGTGGAAATTTTATAAAAATGATAGCCTAAATATTTTTTTTATCAAATGTTAAATATTTTAAAAAATTTCAAAGTAACGTTTTCCAGTATTCATCGTAATGATGCTGATTTCTATTATACATATATTAAGTTAAAATATTTATATATAGTTTTATATTACTTTGTTTGTTTTTTAATTGGTTACAAAATAGTTATCACATTAAAAATATTATTGTATTGTCTAAATTTATTACAGAAATCTTGAGAAGTTGCTGGATAGTATATACATCAAACCTTACTTATCACACCTAAGTTCTTATTGCTTGGGCTTATTAATTGGACACGTTTTATCGGAAAAAAAACAATTGAAATTCGGAAAGGTATGTTGTAAATATGGTTTGATATATTTTCAAGCATTCATTTTAAATCTAAATATTTCAAATAAAAATTGTACTCGTATGAAACAAGTGTTTAACATATTTAGAATTTGGATACAACAAAATTAATTACAATCTAATAAGAGAGTTAACGCATTTGGATGTCTTATTCTCACTAACACACAAGAATCTCATTAGAACAAAAATCAGATTCGACACCATCAATAAAATACAATTAATATCACATGGAATAACGTAAGATTTTCCAGTAAGAACGTCCATTATAAATTGAAATTATGTATTTACCAGATTTACATAAAAAAAATTACTTAATCTTTTACAAGGAATGCTCAGCAATACTGACTGTAGTATTATGCGATAATATGACAAGTAACAGTACAAGAAATTTTAGTGTTCGAATACTACTATAAGGTTTTCAAAACATCGATTATCCGAGGAACTGAACACTGTAACGTAAAAATTATTTGGCACGTAGTGACAGTACTGTAATTACACTCTGTATTTCACAGACATTGTGCTTTCTAATGTTTGAATTTGGCATATTTTAATTTCATATTTATACAAGGAATCTATATTTATATATAATTGTTTCTAGTTATTTTACTCAAAAGAACTACAGTATTTCATTTCGCTTGTATCATAATCAGTCGTTACATATAGGAATGCACACAATAAATTTAAAGCAAATAACATTTAAATACAGAAATATATAAAATAATCAATGTGTAGACTACTTTATTAACCTCACTTGACACGTGTTCTAATGTATACTTTGTTCCTGCTTTCTATGATTATTTACCATGTAAGTAATCATATTTCAGTCTCTAATTTACTTATGGACTGTGACGTATCAACGTCATTTAAATCATTAATATTTATTTTTTAGGTTTATTTTCACGTTTCGAAAATAAAACTAATATACTTTAAAACTTAATAGAAGTATGTCAACCTTTAACACGAAACTTTTATTTCAAATCGTCGTGACTTAAAAATTATTTGTAGTACTTCATGAACAATAATTTTACACGTGTGTTTTATATTTCATTGTAATTATTGAGGAGTGTAATGTATGCTACACATAATAAATATCAGATACGAAAATAGTTTATACAACACAATTATAATAATAACCAGATATGAAATGATGTTTCAGATATATTTTACTGATATCAATATTTTGATTCTAGCATTCAAATCAAATTATTTTTCTTATGTTGTTGTTTTTAGTTTCTTATCTGTTAGAAATGATTATGATTTCTCTGATTGGCTGTTTTATGCAATTTTCACTAGTTTTGTCACAACGATTGACAGAGAATTTAACACATGCATTTCGATTTAAATGAAAGATATTACATGAAGGAAGAATTGTATTTTGTGTCAACCGTTGTGGCATATCTACAGGAAATTAGAATAGCCAATTACAAAATTAACAAATTATTTATCATTTCCATGCCTGTTTCATACTTTCTAATTACATTGAGTAATTCTGATGACGATACTGTATAAATACATTTTTATGTCAGTATGTTATATGTTCAACCTTTATCAATAGAACAATATTATGGCAATATAGGGCATGAATGGCTAAAATAACATTTTTAAAATCAAATTATATCTCAAAAATTTATTGACTTTTATAATCGTCGTTAACTTTTAAGCAGCAACTTATATATATATAGCCTATATATATATAAACAAATAATAAAGATGAAAATGTAATTAAATGATAATTTTACGTATACCATTAAATTGAAAATATAAACAATTTTAAATTCGATAACTGAACGTATATTTTTAATATCATTACAGAGGACTCTCATTTCGTGTTGGATTACGACAACTTGTTTGATAGGATTGGCTTTCTTCGGTTTGCACAATTACAGACTTGATCCTTCTCCAAATGAATCAGTAATAGCTGCTCATCAGATTCTTACTCCATTTGCGTGGACAGCCATAATAGCTTGGATATGTGTTGCGTGCATTTCGGGATACGGAGGTATGTTGATAACTTTAATTTAAGAACTGTAAGGAATACATTATTAAACAGTTTGATTTTTCTTACAAAATAAAATATAAGGCTTCGTCAACAGATAAGGTTTACATTGACTCACTACAGTAATAAAAAATTGACTACACAATTTCGTATTTTTCCTTAAGCGTAAGCGTTGTTAGCTTTCGGACACTCACTTCTAACAGAAATATGAAACACGTGCTACAAATAACGCTTGACGTGAGAAAATGCAAAATTGGATTCTGCTGTGACGTTGATATAGATTATATATTTTCTTTTTGTTTATCTGTTATTATTTTATATATAAAAATACATAAAATGTTAAAGCATTTTTATTAATATGTATATATTAATAAGTCGAGTCCCCTCCTGAAAAAAAGAGTTCACACCGCACTGTAAATGCTAATTAAATTTTAAAGTTCTTCAAGTTTCGTTCTTTATTACATTCTTACATTTTAATTTAAATTTCAATTCTAAAAAACTTAAAAATTTATGTCTAGATGGAGGCTGTCTAAATTATGTTTGTCTGAGTTAAAAATCAAGTTTTATTTATTGATAGGTCCAAACATAGAGGGAAGTTGCTATTGATAGTTTAATGCGATTGTTGATTTAAAGGCATACTGATTGGTGATATAAATGGCGATGCAAAGATATGTAACATCTCATTGAAAACTATGAATGAATTAAAGAAAATTTTCTTGAAAATTAATAAGAAATGTACTCTTAAACCTCGCTCTTAATAACTTTCTACAACTGTTTATATATTGTGTTTTATTAAAAAATGAAGTACTAATGCTATTTGCATGCTGAAAGTACGATTTTTGCTTTATAAATCATGCTGTAATTCGTTCTATATGTATTTCGTAAAGATAAATTATAGGAAAAACAAATCTAACGGATTTTCCGTTAAAAGACAGATGTGTGCAGCTACGTTAGTTTATACATAAACCAACAGTAAATATACAGATGTATAAATACAGCAAAAATTACCTTTGTTAAATATTTATATATACTTCACGGAAATAAGTTAATTCTGAATTTTAAAAAAATTTAAATATTTTATTCAGAAGAATAAGAGACCATAAATTTACCTATGCTTTTGACTAATATTCTGTAATAAATAAATGAAAAGACATTAATAGATTATACAGTCTTTAGAATCTTGGCATTGCCTTAAGTCAGGAGAAAAACTTAAAAGTAATAATAACACAAGATTTTCTGTTTTTTTTTGTGTAAAGAAATTTCTTCACTAAAATATGCGAAAATTATTAAGCACGAAAAAATTGTACTTTTATTTTTTGTATAACGCTTGAAATTCAATTAATTATATTTAGTGGGATGGATCACGTGTTGATCACAGTACAGTTTCTGAAATCTTCAAATGACACTGAACACAGCTACCCTCATTTCTTTCTCGACATTAATTTTCGTGCGACACTTACAAGGGAACTGTCGGAGTGGCATCTAATAAATTTTAATAAAATTTAGTTAATAGTTACGTTAAAAGTATACAAACTCTATATTAAATTTGTAGTATTCACTAAAAGAGTTAATCAGAGTTATTAGCAATCAAATGTCGTACTATTTTATATGCGGATTTTTAAAAGTGAAAGGGTCGCGGAGGAAGACGGCGATATTACATTTAGAATAAATTCTGGAATTTTCGAAAATGGGAGAAGAATTAATAACATTTAGTTAATAATTATGTTAAAAGCATGCAATCTCTATATTAAATCTGTAGTACTTACTAAAAGTATTAATCAGGATTAATAACTATTAAATGTCGTAC